AGGTCAGAGTTGGCATTTTGGTTTGTTGCAGGCCCTGGTTCCAGAGTCCATGTCCATGTTGGAAGGGCATTGCTGTGGGTGAGAATTTGTGTAAGGTTAGGAGCCTGTCTGTGGGGAACATGTTTGCCTCCTGACCCCTGTGAAAGCGGAGTATCATTGTCCAATAGAGTTGCCAACCCCCAGGTGGTACCTGGAGATCGCTCACTATTACAATTGATCTTCAGATGGCCAAGATAGTTCCCCTGGAGAAAATGGCTGGTTAGGAGGGTGGACTCTGTGGCATTATATGCTGCTGAGGCCCCTCCCGTCCGCATACTGCACCTTCCCCAGGATCCACCTCCAAAATCTCCAGGTATTTCCCAGCCCAGAGTTGGCAACCCTAGGTTGTAGGTTGTTGATAATGTGTTGAACCAGTTTGAACTGAGAGCTGTATGTGACCCCCCCCCCCAGTGGTGTTCACTTGTTGTTTTGCTTACCTTGTAGGAGGCTATCCCTTGGTATCATTCTGGCTTTGTTGATCTGTTTCTTTACTACATCAGGTGGGTATGTAATTCCAAAAATGCCTGTCAAAGATCCTGCAGGTGAAAATCTCTTTCTTAGGGATTGGAACAGATGTGACTGTGGTGTATAGCTTGGTTGTAGATGATAGACTGTTTGGTGTGTTTAGGATGGTGAGTGGAGGCATGTAGACATGTTTGGCAATCGGTACGTTTCTGGTATAAAGAGGTTTCTGTGCTTCCATTATGTATGTATACCCTGGTATCCAGAAAATGTATACTGATGCAGAGCTGATCTTCTGCCCCCATGCAATGGATTGGATCCTGCCTAGATTTCCACAGGCATGGTGGGGTGACTTTTCTTGATTCCCCCCTCCTCCAGCAGTCCAAAGTATGTCCCCCAACACTGGTTCTCAGGGACAGGGACATCCAGGATTATCTTGGGGAGATTAGAGATCTCGTACAGTGAGGGATCAGCAAAAATCCCCTCTCCTACTTGCACCCATAGAAATCTTGGCAAGATTCAAGCTGTGACGGACTGCACTTTTAAAAGAAGTGCTGTGTGAACAGATCATAAAGGACTGTGAAGGGTTAATTCTTCACAGAGCCAGAGTCCTGAGTGACAGGCTGTTCCGAGAGATCTGATTGGTTAGCATCAGCTGAGCAGACAAAAGCATCTAGAATTTGCTCCATTGTTTTACCAAACCCACACTGGAACAGAAAAAGGTGCAGCTCAAAACCACATTCAGATACCCCGGGCCAACAGCGTATTGAATGCAGAGTCACCCCTGAAAGGCCATAAAACGTCCATAAATCTATGCAGACAGTACCATAAAACTGAGAGATCAAAGGAAGTCAAAGCAGCATGCAATGTGGAGGCTACAATTAAATCCAGCAATCAAAGAAAGTGAAAGTGGCATGCAATGTAGAGGGGTATTTCTGTTCCAATGTGTGTTTGGTGAGACAATGGAGCGAATGCTAGATGCAAAATGGGCCAAAGACTTCGGAACTGGATGCTGAGGAGATTCAGTCTGATTTCAGCCTTAGCTGAGAGCAGTTTAACACATACAGAAAACTGGGGGAAATTTGACAAGGATGTTTGGGAAGTAGGCGAAGACTCCCATTCGAGCCAAGGAAAGGGGATAGATCTTCTAGTGAGAGGAAGATTTCCCTACCCAGTCAAATAGGGAGTTAGCTCTGAAGGGTGAAGAGACCCCTGGTCTGGTGTGGTTAGAAACTGCCTTTAGAGATCTGGGCTGTGGTCAGATGTGCCATTTGGTGCGGTCAGGAAGCAGTCCTAGTCCATCTATTGGTATTTGGCATGGAGTTGCTCGATCACACATCCCAGTTTAATCCATTTCACTGCAGGCGTAGCCCGTCACTGTGCGATCAGATGGCACGTTCGGAAAAGTGGGGGTCCCCCCCCTTTTTTTGTGCCCATGTGCATAAATAAGGAATTGAACCTCTGCACGAAGAGTTCTCCATGGAATTCTCCATGGACCAATCATGAGGTTATGTGCATATTGCTAAGTGGGGGGGGGAATGGTGCCAAGTTGGGATGGACTGAGCAGTCCATCCCAACAGCCTGAGTGCACACTTGAGTGATTAGACTAGGAAAGATCCGTCTATGGCCTGTTGGCAAGCATTAAGACTGGACTTTCCCTGCTGTCTTTTAACTCAATTTCTGTGGTTGGGCAGCATGGGGTGCCGACGACTGCAGGACATTTCCCAGATGTTGCAGTCTGATCGTGCACTTTAGATCCATCAGGCATTCTCAACTAAGTCAGACCTAAAAATACATCTGACCACAGCCCTTAAGAGTCAGTTAAAAACTCAGCCCTCTGATGGCTAAAGTGAGAAGCGACCTGGATCTGTACTAAAAGCAGCTACACTTTTAAAGGGACAGTACGTTGATCATAGAGACGTATGAATGGTGAGGAGACTCTAAAGTTTAGTTCTTTGTGGCTGGATTGGCAAGCTGATCGAAAAGCGGTTTTCTGGAGTAAAGGGCTTGCTACCCCAACTTTACAAGATCTGCTTGCTAAGAGAAAGGTTGGAATCTCCAATGAGCGTATTGTTAATGAAACAAAAGGAAAGACTCTTTTGATCTAAGACGTTTAAGGAAGCGAAGATGTCCCTGGAAAAAAGGAACTTGGTTTATATCATGAATGGACAGATCCGGACTTATAAAAACTAAAAGATAATTGAAGAAAGAAGGTACATCGAAGACAAGAAGAAAAACGTGTTGTGATGTTCTTACTGAGGGAACATTGGTTTTAAAGATCCTGCCTATGGGGGGGGGCGAGTAAAGCGTAAAGGGAGATGCTAATTTTTTCTTAAGGGCTGTGATTATGTGTGTTATAGCTTAGCCAGATAAGCTGGTTTTGTCAGCAGAAGCGATGATTTGGCGGGCACTCTTCATGTTTGAAAGTAACTGTATAAGAGTAACAACTATGTTTTAAGCATTGTAAAACCTCCATTCTTGGGTTTTTAGTTAGGTTCTTTTTACTTTCTCCTATAGATAGTAGACTCTCCCTCCCAAATTTCTGTTGTAGTTTTATAGAAATGCAAATAAAAAATTCCCCTTTGGCCCCCCCCCCCAAAAAGAGTCAGTTAAAAACTCAAGATTAGTACTGGTGCTTCAAGAGAAGGGGTTTGGGTACTGGAAAGATTGTACCAGCCTTCTGGAAACCAAAAGAGTTAGAGAATACTCAAAGAAAGTGTACTGAAGTGTTTGGGGAAAACACTGGAACAAAAGCCTCTCAACATAAAGATTTAAGTAACTGTGAAAAACTTAAGAAACTCTCATTAGCCTGAAACATAAGAACTAAAGTTTGTGCATGTACTGATTTTACCTCAGAAATTTCAACCCCTGATTTTACCTGACCTTTCCCCTCTGTGTTTAATAAAATATTTTGTTATTTTTGAATTTCAAAATGCCTCGAGTGCCATTTAAGTTGTTTGAGTTAAAGTGGGCTCCTGATCCTTCTCTCAGGTTCTTGCGCTGAGTCAAAAGCAAAAATATTGTACTGTGAGTGACAGGGTGGGATAGCCAGAGTTCTTTAGCAAAGAAGAAAACAAATTGCTAGGGTGGCTCAGTCGGTGAAGGGAAAGAAAAATGGAGGAAAAATCTTGTCTCTGAGGGAGGGGGACGGGGGTGTCATATGATCCAACTCCATTCAACTCTGATTCTTTAAGGATATTTGCAGATACAACCAATGCAGGACTGGGTCATAAAAGTTAGCAGCCCTGGAAAGTGTAGCATACACAGATATATGTTGCACTAGATCATGGCAGGTCAAGCTTAGTAAACATAGTCATGGCATCATTTTCTGGGTTCTGTGAGGTGTTAATGATTTGGGAAAAGGCATGCAGTTTGAATGCTAATCTGCACATTGAAAAGTTTAGCAGACTAGGAAACCACTAGTTGATTCCTGTAGACATGTATCAATCTTACCTGATGGATGCACAGGGATTTGCCTCTGGGTAGAAGTTGTTACTTAGCATAGTATTTTTATGGCTTGAGCTATGATAATGATAGGGCCACTGTGACTTGAGTTCATTTCAGAGAACTTTTGCAAAAATCAAATACAGCAGGTGCAGGGATCAGAATCAGCACACTCTTTATATGGGAGAACTTAGGTCATTATAGAAGAAAGACTACTTTGCAGCTCATTGAACATAATGATTCATATCCCCCCATTTTAACTTTATGATTTAATTATATAAAATCTACCCTTAGGTCTATATTAGGAGAAAAAATTGTTTGTTTTATGTTTGAGTGAGAAGACAGCGTTCCATGCACCTTGGCATTTAGTCAAGCCGGCCACATGACCACGGAAAATGTCTTTGGACAGCGCTGGCTCTTCGGCTTGGAAATAGAGATGAGCACTGCATCCCTAGAGTCGGATTCAACTGGCTTTCAAGCAAGGGAAACCTTTACCTTTACCTTTAAGAAGACAGAGGGCAATTCTGCATCTAGCATTCGCTCCACATTTTCTCAACTGAGAGGGAAAAGTGCAGCTCAAAACCACATTCAAATACGGCAACACTGTACTGACTCCAAAGTCACCCCTGAACAGCCATAAAACAGCCATAAATCTATGCAGAAGGTACAATAAAATCCAATGGTCAAAGAAAGCGAAAGCGGCATGAAGTGTGGAGGCTACCATAAAATCTGATTATCAAAGGAAGTGAAAGCAGCATGCAATGCAGAGGGGGATTTCTGTTCCAATGTGGGTTTTCGTAAAACAACGGAGGGAAAAGCCAATGCAGAATCAGCCAGTAATTAGATCCCGTTTGATACATGGAACTGGTTTAAGTAGATCGTCTCTCCCTTCCCACAGCACCTCCTGTGCCCGCATATAGTGAAAACCCTGGGGAAAAAGCCAAGGGAGGTGATTTCAAACTGACTTCCCCTCCTCTCTGCAGCCACTGGTGCCATGGGGCTTTTTGTTTAGGACAGCCCCCTGACCCACCACAGAGGATTCTGAGGGTGTGCAGCGGAGAGAGACAGCTGGGGAAGGTGGGAACAAACCCCACTCCTACAATTTGCATAAACTCCTTATGCAAGTGGATAACCACCCTATGCTCTTAAAAAACACTCGGGTTCTGGCATGTTCCAGTGTGTCATCACGCCAGAAGAATTGCCAAATGTCCAAATTCAAATGTGGGTAGACTGCCTGAGAGAGAGGCTGTTACTGAAAAACAACTGGAGAAACATTCTCATCGAGCTTACAGTGTTCCATTCAAGTTCAGTAGCACCTTAGAGAGCTTACGGTGTTCCATGAATCCTCTTAATCTCTTGCTCTGTAAAGCATACAAATTAGCAGTGACCCAGCGCTTGTTTTGAGACCTTGATTTTGCTTACACAAGAGATGGAAACCAACCTGAGTTAAAAACTAACTAAATGCCTGCATGAAGCTGCTGATGCTTGCCCAGCTAATGACACCACATGCGCCTTTCTGACTTGTTCATCACATTTGCCTTATTATGCATTCTAGTCATGTGTAATTTACACATGTTTTCAGCGAAGACTGCAGAATTGGGGAAACTAGCAGAGATGTACAGCCCTTCTAAACACATGTGCATACTATTCGAGCCTCACACAGGGACAGCTGCCAAAATGGCAGATGAGAGGCTCTGGTCAAAGTATAAATGCATCAACAACAGAAGGTTAGCCAAGCATAGCAGTGCAGGCCCAAGGAAGGGGAAACTGGTTGAGGCTGAAAGACCACACCTTCCCCAACAGCCAATCCGCGATGTCTGATACTCTAATGATCCCAGTATATCTTGCAATCCAGCTGTAGGAGACAGACTGTTCTACAGCTGATGAGCTGGACAGTAAACATTTACTGGGGTCATCCCAGCATTGGGAAATAAAAAGAAGGAATATAGTTTACTGGAGAGTGGCTACAAAGACTCTTATATGACCCTGCGCTTTTACAGGGTGTTTATCTTTCCCTTTTGTCTGACGAGGAGCTGTACCGTGAAATCTAGACACTATGACATCTGTTGTAGCCAATTCCAGTAAGCCTGTTAAGACTGAAAGGAAAAATTACACTGGGTAAGTCACTGACACCCTTACCTTAGGTAATATATGTCCAGGTGCATCACTCTAGTGCATCAGTGTAATGCAGTGCAGCTGAAGAATAATAATGCTATGGTCTGGGATGTCACTCTGGCCCAGCTGTAGACCAGTCTGATGTCACCTAGGTCTAGCTGACCCATCCTAATGAAAGAAGGACAATTCCATTGAAAAGTTATTATTTTTGTTTGTTCTGATGTGCTGTGTTTTGTTTGGTAACTCTGTGTTGACCTGCATTTCTATGCAGTCAGTTTCCATTCCATTTGCAATTATGATTGGGGGAAAGATGCAATCAGAAACCGTTCAGGGTTGTTTGTTGTTGCTGGGGTTTTGGGGTTGGGGTTTTTTTTTTGACATCTTACTTTAATTTAAATGTAGATTGAAACATGGCCCTTTAATCAAGATGATGGGACAAAAATGCAATAATTATTTTAAAAGAGGTGGTATAAAATAAGGTCTATTTAATAAATGTGATTCCTTTTGCTAAACTTAGGAGAGTGGCAGCAGCAATTGATTAAGTGACGAGTGCCTGTTTGGGAAATGATAAAATGATCTATTGATTAATTTGCTGTCACAGATTGAAACAGTGGGGGGTTAAATGAAATTTCAATTTAAATTGTCCCATAAAAGGGTTTTCAGGGCTGAGAAATTTGTTTTCCCCAAGCTATGAGCTTACTTTTTTTTAATTTTAGTTTTTATCACGGTGGGACAAACTAGTTCTGGGTTTTATTTTGTATCATGGCACTGCCTGCACTAGGCTCACCAAGTGGCGGCGGGGGATCCACATGTCTTCACAGGATCCCTGCCGTGGGGACGGCGACACGCGGTGCACCCACCGTCGCCAGGATGTGACGCAACGCGTCGCTCTGGCAATGGGACACCAAACAGCCCCGTTGCCAGAGCGACGCGTTGCATCACATCCTGGCGATGGCGGTGCAACACGTATCGCCATCCCTGCGGCATGGATCCTGTGAAAACATGTGGATCCCCTGCCGCCACTTGGTAAGCCTAGCCTGCACATATGATCACCTCACCCACTTCCCTCTCTCAGAGGCAGAATTTTCCCTCCGTATTCCTTTCTGACTGAGCAGCCCTTTTTTATTTAGTTTCTTCTTCTCTGAAGATCTATGGCTGCCCCACCCTGTTAGTATGATATTTTGCTGCTGGCTCAGCCCAGGAACCTGAGGGGACAAGATTACCCCCTTAACTTAAACTACTGAAATGGCACACAATGCTTTTTAAAATTCAAAAATAACAAAAATATTTTATTCAACACAAAGGGGAAAGTCAGGTGAAATCAGAGGTAAAATGTCTGAGGCAAATCAGTATAGGCACAGACTACAGTTCATATGTTTCAATCAATTGAGTGTTTCTTAAGCTTTCACACAATCTTAGAATCTTTAGAATCATGGAATCACAGAGTTGGAAGGGGCCATACAGGCCATCTAGTCCAACCCCCTGCTCAGTGCAGGATCAGCCTAGAGCATCCCTGAGAAGTGTTTGTTCAGCTGCTGCTTAAACATCGTCAGTGAGAGGGAGCTCACCGCCTCCCTAGGCAGCTGATTCCACTGTTGCACAAGTCATACCGTAAAACAGTTTTTCCTAATATCCAGCCCTTAACTGAAACCCATTATTGCAAGTCCTATCCTCTGCTGCCAACAGGAACATTTCTTTGCCCTCCTCTAAGTGACAGCCCTTCAGATACTTCAAGAGAGCAATCATGTTTCCCCTCAACCCCCTCTTCTCCAGACTAAACATTCCCAAGTCCCTCAGGCTGTCCTCATCAGGCTTTTGTTTCAGTGTTTCCTAAACACTTCACTATACTTTTTTGAGCTTAAATGTCTCTTTTGGTTTCCTGAAGGCAGGGATACACTATCCAGTTTTCAATTTCCCTCGCTAAACACACCAGTACATTTTCTTGACTTTTACTAACTCTTTAGGTTTCAGAAGACAGTCTCTAAAAACACCAGACCAGGGATCTCTCCACTTTTTGAACTATTTCCCTTTTTTAACTGGGTAGGAAATGTCTTCTCTCACTAGAAGATCTGTGTCCTTTTCTGGCCTGAATGGGAGTCTTCACCAATCTACCCACTCTTCCTGCCAACCTTCCCAGTTCTCTGTCCATGTTAAATGCCTCTCAGTCAAGGCTAAACACAAACGTCATCAGCACCCAACTTTTCTCAGTCAGGGCTAGACTCAGACTGAGTTCTCTTCAGCATTCAGCTCTGAAGTCTTTCTGCTCAACTGATGCTAACCAATCAAATTTCTCTGAGCAGCCTATCACTCAAGTTTTTTGGCTCTGTGAGGCATTAACCCTTCACAGTTCTTTGCATATTTTCACAGCACTTCTGAGCTTTTAAAGTGCAGTCCGTTACGGGGGGAGAAATCCTCCCCACATTATTGTGGGTCCACACTCATCTCTATACTGTTAGCAACATGTAGCCCCCATCTGCAGATACCTAAATCCACAGATTGGGACCACATGGACTCTAAACAGATTTTTCTGCAAACTTGGGGGACTCCCCTAGTTTGCAGAAAAATCTGAAATGTTTACATTTCCCTGAAATTAAAATAAAAAATTCAAAACATTAAAATGCATTGTATGTGCATGCACAGGCAACGAACTTACTTTGCTTCTGCTGCAGTGATTTGGAGCAATAATTGCAGTGATTTGGAGCATTAGCTGGGTGGCGGTGGCACATGCCAGGAGCCGTTCAGGCCCAGCTGTGGAGTTGGCATGCACTGGGAGCTGCTCCAGGCTTGGAGAGGCTCCTGGACACTGCCACTACGACAGGTGGGCTCCGATGTGAGTGGCTTGGCTTGGATGCACTGACTCAGCAATAGGGGGGTCAGATTCCTCCCCATGAGTTCCATACCCCCTTTGTTTTTTACTAATGTCCAGGTGACAATGTTTTAAGAGGAAAACGTTCTAGGGCCTCTTCTCTACATAGGGTTGTCAACAGGCCTGGAGAAATGTGTCCTATCCCTTTAACAGAAGCTTAAGGGAATGTTATTTGGCAAGTCATGTTATTTACCTCTACGCTGCAAAAAAACTTTGGCTGCCCATTTCTGGACATTTAGCTTCTGCTAAAAGGGCAGGACGATTTTTAATCCAGGTTGTTGACAACCACACATTCTGCCCCCCAAAAGCACGGCCAGAGTGGAAATTCAACCCCAATGACATTATCAGTGATGGGTCGAAATGCCTTCCAGTAATAACAATCCCTAAATGGAAGAATAAATTAAAACAGCAAAAGCCACAAAATTAAACGCATCCTGGCAGGTTTTAAACTTTAATGTTATTATATTTAGGTTGCCTTTTGGTATGAATGAGGCCTCTCTAAATGCAGTTTTACTGGCAATTTGCATGGGATACTCTTAAATTTACAGCCAATTTCCTTCGATGGCATAGAAAACAAAGTCATCAATCAATAAATATACAAGTCGAGTGGATGTTAGGACAGGATCAAGTGAAACAATTCCACAGACACTGGCAGCAATACAAAAATCGGCCTTTGAGACTGCAAGCAGTGGCAACAATGGAAAAGTGGATCTGCAAAGTCCACCTGCTGAATTATTTTTGAAAGAAGAATGTTGTGGGGGGCAGGCAGCTGCTGGAGAGCCCAAGAGAGACACCAAACCATTCTGGCAGCCGTCTAGAGACAGGTGCTAGCACTGCAACCAAATCAGAATTAATCAAAAGGGCCAAGGGAGCTGTGAGGGAAGGGCTGACTATTGTTAGAAGATTTGAAAATCATATTTAATTGGGTGCTGCTGAGAGCCAACGCTATCTCTGCTTTTAAAATAAATGTATTCTAGAAAGAATGGAACAACAATGAACCTCAGAACCCTAAATGAAGAGAAAAGTCAGAGGAAAGAGATTCATGATGCCTCATACCTCCGCTACATTGTATTTTTTGCAACCAGCTTTTAGCTTTTTCTCAGTTAAGAACGTAACAGGAGCTCTTCTGGATTATACCTGTGGTGAATACAATTCAGCGTCTCATACAGTGGCCAATATGAAGCCTCTGGAATGTCTAGGAAGATGGCTTGGAGGGCAAAGTTTTCTCCTGTTGTTGCCTCCTGGCACTGGTATTCAGAAGTTTACTGCCTCTGATAATGGAGGTTCCCTTTATTCATCATGACCAGTAGCCACTAATGGATCTCCTCATCCCTGAGTCTGTCTAACCCCCTTTTAAAGAATAGTTACAAGAATGGGCACAGTAATAAGGCCAATGAAAAAAGGAAAAAGAACTGTGACAATTAGCGTGTGGTAATATATTCATAAATCATAATATACAATAACAGAAAATAAGTAATATATGTAGTGAATGTAGACGGTGGTCTCCGGAATGGTGTGCCGTTTCGACAATGATCTTCTTCTGAACAGGGGTGTGTACAAAAACTGTCTTTCAACAATTTCTTGGTGACGTATTGGAAATATACTGTTGATTCACTTCATTATGAGGCTATGCTTACAGCTATGTTCTTCAATGGGCTATAATTGCTGAATGCCTTCATTCACTATATATATTACTTATTTTCTGTTATTGTATATTATGATTTATGAATATATTAGCAAGCACTAATTGTCACAGTTCTTTTTCCTTTTTTCATTAACCCCCTTTTAAAGCCATCTACACTCTATGGTTCTAATGCAATGGGATTGTATTTCTTACTTCCTTCACTGTGAGACTTTAGTCCCTTACTTGCCATTTACCTACTTCCTTTCTTAGCCTTGCAACCATAAAGTTGGCTTTATTTGTTCTGCTTCCATCCTTCTTAGTTCTTCCCTAGACTCACATACACACCAACAATAGTATCTTTTCAGTTTCTTAGCCACACTTTCACTCCATCTGTGCATTCTGTAAGCTACTTTCTTCATTTTTTCCTCCACCCCTAATAAATGTCTTTAGGGTTGGTATGGAAGTCACGCTCAAAAAGCTGAAATACAACCCATTGTACATATTTTTAGTGTGGGAGTGAAAAATGGCATTACTGCAGAAGCGACTTGAATATTTGCGTGTTGCAGCAGTATTTCTAGCATGAGGTACTAAAGGTACACCCAGATCCCTTATTATAAAGATTAAAAGGTACCCCCTACCAGTGTTCCCGCTAAGCTGAGTTAGTGTGAGCCAGCTCACAGTTTTTTAGCCTCCAGCTGACACATTTTTGTCTTAGCTCAGGAAGGATGGCTCCTGGGCAAATTAATTTATGCAGTAGCCAAATCGCTCGCTCACAACTTCAATGCTGGTAGCTCACAAAGTAGGATTTTTTGTTCACAAGACTCCACAGCTCAGAGGGAGCATCAGTATTGTGAAGCAAGGGGTGGGTAGGCTTCAGGCTTGAGAGAGTTCCTTTTTCTTTTGCTGGTGCTTCAGAATCCACCAGCTGGATCCAGTGGCAAAAAGGCTCCTCTCAAGAGGTGGATCCAAGCACAGCTCCTCCCATATCAGAGCCAGTTACAATTACCTGCCTCTCTACACAAGCCATATACTGGGTAGGGGGCAAAGTACAATATTCACAGTACATAGCAGAGATCCCAACATCAAACCTCAGAATACTATACCTGGTCCCAGCCAGCCAATAATATGACCATTTAACAAACAAAGGCCCCTGCCACACAAGGGAAGAAAGGGACGGCCAAAGTGCGGCTTTTAAAAGCCGCACCTAAATAGGCACGCGGCGGCGGGATCATACAGATCCCATGAGCCACTGTGCATTTGCTCCCCGGCACGATCAGATGCCGGGGAGAAAGCCACGGGAGTCTGCTGAACTGCCCATGTCGGAGCATGCACAGTTCGGCAAGGAGCCGGGGATGCGCCGGCGAAATAACTTGCCGGCGATACCATGGCCGGCGTTGCTGCGGCCGTTTGAAAAGAACCACCTCAGTAGGTGATTCTTTTTTGGTGCGGATTATCGCTGGAAGGGCCGGATTGGGGACGGACACGGTACGCTTCCCAGATGTTGCGGTGGGATCGCGCCCATTTGCTCCGCCCCCATTCTGTCCCTCTCCCGGCCCTAATACTCTCGTGTGACTGGGGCCAAAGAAACACAGAACTCAGATGATTATCCCTTCTTATAATCTTTTTAAACAAAGCCATTTGTGTGTCAGCATTCTAATTTATGCCTTTACACGTGTGGTATGACTGCAATGCAACCAGCTAGGGTGGTTGGTGTAGCTGAGATGGACTGAGACCTCCAAATACCCCTGGACCATGCTCAATGGAATGGCCCCTGCAGTGCTGGAACTTTCCTAGTAAGTTCAAGGGCTAGTCTCCACCTCCCTGAAAATAGTAATAGGGGGCTAGATCTCACAGTGGTGGGAACCTCCAGCCTGCTATCCACCTCCTGTGGTATTCTGGGGTAGAGCTGCCTAACCACAATGTTCAGCCGTTCAGGGCAGGCTCTAGCAGGCTTAGGATACCACGTTATCCATGTATTTAAAGGTGGATGTGTAAACTCATGGATATGTTCATTCTGACAGAAAGACATCCAGTGGTATTTCTGACCAATGAACACTCCTCCAATCTTAAAGCAGGATCATGGTTGCCATTTTGAACTATCACACTCTCCTTTGAAAAGTTCCATTATCTTACCATAAACTTCATACTTTAAAGCATGCTCATGTCATGTTTCATTTTTGAAATTCCAGGTCTATGTGAGAGAAAGGAGGCGGGGGGGCACAGCCAGCCATGGAAAACATGTAATAAAAATGTTTAGAAGAAAATTAAAAATTGAAAAAATGGTGCAGCCATGAAGCCATTGATTACACCACAAACCATAGCAACAACCGGTCCATGATAGTCACTCAACTTCATTTCAGAAGGCATCAGATACACAGATACTCTCTGGGGGGAAGCAGATTTTTTTTTCCTGGTGTACAGCTAGCATTGGAAAATGCTGAAAAGTACAACCTAGAGGGAAGATGTCTGCGGCCTGCATGCTGAATAGGCTACAATTGCTCATTTACTGTACTAAAAATTGATCATCCAGAAAGTGGCTGGTGTAGACCTGGGCCTCACCTCTCTACAGCCCTCAGCATTACTAATATATATCTAATCTAGGAACTTGCACGGATTCTTGTATCTTATTTCACAGTTTTCTTTGGGGGTTTGGTTTGATCAGACTTTTATCCTCCTCTATTCTTATCCCCTAGGAACGAGCTTGTTTATGTTAAGAACCCTCACTTGGATTCAATGGATGAAGATATTCTATATCATTTAGATTTGGGAACCAAAACTCATAATCTGCCTGCCATGTTTGGTGACATAAAGGTAAAAAGAATCATTGCTTAGTTTCCACATTTGTAAAAAAAAATTAAAAACCCATTTCATTCCTTCTCATGTTTCTTCCCTTGTCTTTTTATTGTTCCCTTTTATCATCGTGTCTTCTTCGCAGTGCGGGCTACAAAGATGTCTTTAAAGTCCCGCTGGGAATGAGACACCGCCACTCTGCGGAGCTGCTCCAAAAGTGTGCTGCAGCCATAGTTATGGGCAATTACCCTTCCTCTCTCAGTGACATATGTAGACCAAGAGACTAAGCCTATTTCTGGTGTGATGAGCTAAATTTTCCCCTAGGGAAGGTGTGCTGACTTCAGTTCAGAAACAATACATTGAGGAATTCTGTTCATCATGGTATCATTTCCAAGTTCATGTGTTTTATTACTAGAATGGAGCAGCAACTTTCATTCCACAGGGAGCTGGGGGAGTAGCGTGGCTGAGCTCAGAATTAGGGGACTGTCTGGTTCGGATCTCACCTCTGCCATGTACTCACTCAGGGGCCTTTGGTGTCACTAGCTTTCAGCCCTCACTTACAGTACAGAGACAGTAATACTGATCTCCACAATGGGGTTGCTGTAAAAATAAGATCATGTATGTGAAGCACTTTGAATACTGACAGTACTATATGAATAATGACACAGGGTGATTGCTGTGGCATTCAGCATCACAATTTCCTCACAGCTGCTTCCAAAAAATGTATTGAGACATGTATCTGGTCAGATGCTCAAACAACAATTATGATCACCCCCAGAAGGGAGAAACTGACAAAGCAAAGGTATTGCTGAGAAATGTGGAGCTGACAATGCAAGGTTTCTCATAAAATGGAGTTTGGAAGAGTATAATTCTGTTTAGGATGGCACTGGAAGTCCCTTCCAAATTAAAATTCCCTGCTCCTTAATTTTGTATGCTGGCACATCACAATTCAGCTTACAGACCTCTAAAAATGCAGGGCAGTATCCAGTCAAAAGTAAATATTTGGTTCCATTGATTTCGGTGGGAGACTCAAGATATTTTTAAATATTTCTGAACAGGGGTTTAAGTGTTTAACTTTGGCTAGGACATACCCTCACATCTGGTTCATATACTTTGAGCTTGAGGCAGACCATGGGGTTGGACCCAAGGATACCCTTCCCTTCCAGAATCATTGTTCTGCTCATGGACGCATCCCTTCTGGAAGTGGAGAGCACCATTGGATCCAACCCTTTCTTTGCGATTTTAATCAGAACATGGGTTAGAATTACAAAACTCTACCAAACTTTGGTACAAGGTAAAATAGCTGAAACTAAGGAAGGAACCCAACTGAGCAGTACCACACATGATCCCATTCAAGTTTACTCCAGAAAAGTTTCACTAGGTTTAATCGGACTTACTCCTTAGTAAATGTGCATCAGACTTCATCTTTGCACTGTCAGTCATATGCAAAAGTGTGTGAATTTTTTTTTTTTTAAGAAATAATTCCAACCTTTCAAAGCCTCATTTCATTTCTGCCCATAGCATCCATGTGGGAAATCTGTTGGTTCTTTGCACATGGAGGGGAAAAGAACTGCTTTGTTGATTAGCTTGTCTTTTAGATTCAGAAGTAGGGTTTTAAAAATGCAGCCATTTGTGATATTTTTGTTCAGTTTTTAAAAAAAAAACAAAAAAACCTCCTGGCTTTGTCTATGCAATCATGTACAATTCTCTTTCATTCTACTTGCTTCTGCTGAAAGAATTAATTAAATCACAAGCTACTTCGGCTTAATGTTCTACTCTGATTTCAGTGGAAATATGTACTAGCAGTATATGCTAGCATGCAATGCCTGCTCTACAAGGATATTATCCTGGCTTTACTCTCACCAAGAACGTGGCCCCTTCATACTACTTATTTGGACTGGGGTACAGATTCCAAAGGGTTGGATCCTGTGCTCTAGAGCCTGTGTACATGTGAAAGTGTACTAAAGAGAACACTCTGGCAGCTTGCACTATGTTAAACTCAAATCCCAATGGTATTTCCACTTGAGCAAGACATTGTAGAAATAGGCACTGCAGAATATCTAGCACTATTATCTAGTATATCTAGCTGTGTTCAGAGGCGGGGCCTTTCACCTTTGGAATGCCCTCCCCCTTGAGGGTCACCTGGAACCTACCATCCTGTCTTTTAGGCACTAGGTCAAAATACTTCTTTTTACCCAGGCTTTTGTCTAAGGGTTTTTTTTAAAAAAAATAATATTTTTATAGTCTGCTTCCAGTATGAGTTCTGTTTTATGGATATTTTGTTACAGTGCTCATTGGTTGTTTATGCTGTTTTTGTGCTCCTGTCTTTCTAATGGCTTGATAATTTGTTGTTTTTATTGTATTATTTTTTTCTGTTAAGCAGGTCTCTGAAGAGGTGACATATAAATTCCCTTAATAAATAAATTATACAGAGCTCTGCTACGTGTGTTTACACTGCTGTTCATGCATTGCTGGCTCCAGCCCAGGATTCCATGCGCAGCGGATGTTACTATAGGCTGAAGCAGACCATGCATGATCATGTGCAGCAGCATTACATCTCTTCTTGCTCATCTCATTGCACTGCATCATTCCTAATCACCAGCCCCATTCCAATTCACATGAAGCCGCCTTATACCAAACCAGACCATTGGTCCATAAAAATCAATATTGTCTACTCGCACTGGCAGCAGCTCTTCTGGGTCTCAGATAGGGGTCTTTCATGTCACTTCCTACCTGATCCTTTGAATACATGATGCCAGGGATTGAACCTGTGACCTTCTGCATGCAAAGCAGATGTTCTTCCACTGAACCATGGTCCCTCTCCACTGCAATTTGTTGGCTTGCAGGGACCTTAGAATGTGATTGTATCAGACTGTATACGTTGTTCTTCTAGGTGTTAGTAGAGAGGAAGTGGAGAGACGAGCTGTCACTTTCAATGACAGCCATGCAGTTCCCAGATCATTTGGTTTTGGCTTCATCAGGAAATTGAACAAGTTGTTCTCCTACAATAATAATGCTGGCATATTTTAAACCCTGTTGGTTTCCTGTGATGGTATGATCAAAATGAATTTTCATAGTGTTAACTGCAACCTTGCATAAATGGGTCAGGCAGTCAATTTACTCTGCCTTTCAGGCTCACTCCCTCTGGATATAAAATTGTATGAAAGCAGTTCGACATCTTATCACAAACCCAGTCTTCCATCGTTGCCACGGCTGATAATCTTATAATTTATTTCCAGTTTGTCTGTGTGGGTGGGAGCCCCAACAGAATGAAAACTTTTGCTCAGTTCATGCATAAAGAACTTGGACTTGAAGGAGATGAGAAAGACCTGAAAGATATTTGTGCTGGGACGGATCGGTACTGTATGTATAAAGTTGGACCTGTGCTCTCCATTAGTGTAAGTATATCTCAGGGCACCCCCCCCCCAAAAAAAAAGCCCTTTAGCAGCAAAACCGTAACTGATGAGTTTAGTACATTGTTCACATCCCTTATTTAATAATGTCACACTAGCGCTTTTCAGAGGGCCTGGACAGAAACGCTTAAAAATCAAGGGGTTTCTTAGAAAGCAGCTAAGCAACCGATATGTCATGAAGACTGGGTTTTCACAAAATATCCTGATCAAGCTGCTCCATCAGTGCTTGACAAGTATCACCTCTGAGCAAATAAGAGGCTTTCCCCAGTTTCTACCCTTTTCATTGTGTCTACTGATAACTGTCAACCAGAATGCTGGTGGGCACATCCCATTACCTTAGTAGAGTCATTGTGCTGGATACAGCAAGTCCCTTGAAAAATTCACATTCCTCTGTGCATGGACCATTCTTCTCCCCTGATTCAACATTGTCTGCAGTAAGGGCTAGTCAAGGGGGACAGGGAGGGAGCCAGCTCAAGGCAGGCACATGTGGACTGAAGGGTGGGGTATGTAGCAGAGGCATAGCCAGCCCTCTGGAAAGCCAGTGTTTGGATGATCCCTGTGATGGAGGCAAATGCCCATCTGTTGGAAGCAGAGGTGATCAATGAGAGCATTGCCATGGCCTTTGGACTAGTTTCCACCTCTAGACAGAGTAACATTTGGGGATCAATGTGCCTATCAAGCTATGAAGCCTCGCAAAGTTTAACGGACTCATTGGGATTTCCCATTATTTTTATACGGTAGTGTTTGAAGACGTAACATCTGGCACTGCTATATCTTTTCCTGCACCGTATGGTAATTTTCACTGTACCTGAAATCTGGCAAAATATGAATGCATTTAGAACAACTTTTTATACGGTAGTGTTTGAAGACGTAACATCTGGCACTGCTATATCTTTTCCTGCACCGTATGGTAGTAATTTTCACTGTACCTGAAATCAGGCAAAATATGAAAGCATTTAGAACAACATATGCACATGAAGCTGCCTTATACTGAATCAGACCCTTGGTCTATCAAGGTCAGTACTGTCTAGTTTGACTGGCAGTGGCTCTCCAATGTCCCAGGCTGTGGTTGTTCATGTCACACACTACCTGACCCTTTCCCTGCCTGGAGATGCTGGGGATTGAACCTGGGACCTTCTGCATTCAACGCAAATGCTCCACGATGGAGCACTGGCCCCTCCCCAAACAGGGAAGACCTTTACTTCATCATTTATATCACTGACAGCCTTCTTCAGCATAGATTCTTTTACTTCTAGCATAGAGATTCTTTGATGGTAGTCATCACCCTAATATAACTTGAACTGTTTCTTTCACTACATTGTGTAATGTTAAGTATTTCTCTAAGCGCATTTCATGCAATATTATATATTGTTGAAGTTTGGCCTTTAGACTGGGAACAATCCTGGTATGTCAGTAATGAAAGAGTTTTGCTTGGATGATGTTTTCATAGAATACATATAAGGATTCAGTAAGTATAAGGTTTCCCTATGCATTTATTCATGCCCATAAACAGATAGTGGGCAAAAATGTGAAGTGGACCGAAAACAATCTGGGGTTGATATAGGGAACATATGTATCTGTGTTGATAAAGTAGGCATAATCTGTATACTTGCACCCTTATTCAATTATGGGGCCAAATATACACAGAATAAGACCTCTGTATTTGCATCCCAAGTGAATGAGCAAAGGTACATCAAAACAGGTGCTGCATCTTCATCCAAACGAACAATAAGGATTATGACACATTTGCTGATGTCCTGTGCAAGAAGCAAGGAAATCGCTATAGTCCTCTCACACTCCTTCCCCTTCCTCAGCTGATGGGTGATCTGGCTGATTACCTGACCAGAGCTATGCTGATCACACATTACAGAGTGCCTAGGTCGTATGGGTCCTGACAAGTGTCAGACATAAGACAATCACACAAGAGCTGTAGGTTCACCTCAGTTCCTGCATGTGTGGTTCCTGATCAGGACTGCAATACACATGGAAACAGGGCTTCAGTCTTTCCTGTTGGCTGCCTTGGTGGTCCTGATGAGGGCAGAAAGACACAGTGTAAATTCTGTAAATAAACAAATGAATAAACCGTTCCATGGAATAGTAACACCTCCCACACACTGTTTCAGGTTGGAAAAACAGTATAGGGGAAAGACTGAAGCCCCCTTCTCTATGTGCATCATGGCCCCAATCTTAATCAAGCACCACGTGTACAGGAATTGAAGAGAGACAATGACTCCCATGTGATTGTGTAGATGGGCACCTCTGTACTCCATAATGTGTGACAGTGGGATCCTCATCAGAGATAATACCCATGCCAATTTGTGGACAAAAATCCAACCAGATACCACTCTCATGTGTAAGCTTCTGTTGTAACAGATACCAGAAATATCAACCATTTACATCTTCCCTCTGTATCATTTAATAACATCTCAAATTCACATCATTTTACATACAGCTGAGCATTTTAATGTCTCGATAACAGGCCAGAAAATAAGCCTGGACTTGTTCATTCAAGTGTCCAAGTGACCTATTTCTCCTGAGTCCTAAACTAGTACATTCATTTTATAACTAATTTACCAGCAATTTCCCGTTCCTTCCCCTTCAGACGCTTCTAGGCAGTTACTGCCAGACCAATCTTTCAGGCATTCTAAAATGCTACATGTTTTAAACTTTAATATGCTGAGTGAAATATTGCCATGGCTTGTTCGTGCTGTTTCTATAAATTATTTTGGTGCTCTTCAGATACACGGAATCTAACAGATGTACAGGCCTGCCTAGGAAATTCCCTACCAACCACTTTGTTAGAGAAGCGAGACTCAAGATTAATAGGCCAGACGCACAAAATTCTGTTCCCTTGCAAGTCAAAAGGGGGTGTTCTGTTGTGGCACGGAGCAGAAACAGGATCAGATTCAAAGACAATGATTTATACTCCTGTTCCCTTTGAATCATGTAACATATTTTGGCAATTCTACATATTGACTTAGAAAGGCCCTTGGGTTACCTTATAGCAGAGGAAGCACACATTTTTGTTCAGGTCAGCGTTCTTGAAGAATTAGTATCTCTTCCTGAAGTGCAAAAATTTATGACCTGTTGTGGAAAATACTATGAAGTAGCATCTAGTCTCTCACAGAGGACACAGGTTGGATCCAAGGTCCCCATCCCATGTCCTGTGTAACCATCCAGTGTGGTTTGACGGTTTCCCTCAGTTCTCATGTTCACAGTGCCTAGTTCAGAACACAACAGCAGCATGTGTGGAAAAGGGGTTCTAGCTCCCTTCCACCTTACAACATTTTCTAGATCTGGGGGGGGGGGTGCTTTTGGCCTGTTGGGAAATCCAGTGCACATAAGTGTGTGTGGATTTCCCTAAAGTGCCATATAGTGCACTCCAAGGGCCACTACAAGTCAGAGAAATAGTGCAGGAGGAAGACTGAAACCAATTCTTCACATGTGGATGCAGTTGTGATCAGGGGTCATTTCCTGCGGGAGCGCACAGGAGCGGAGTTCCGGCAGTTAAGAGCCCAGGGGGCAGGCACATACAACACGCCCCACCCGCTGCTCCCAGCAGCCCTCAGTCAGAGCAAGAAGCAGCCAAGTAAGCTGCAGAGCCCCCCCCCGGCCCCCTGGTCCAAAACAGTCCAGTGGCACCTTTAAGACCAAGTTTTATTCTGGTACAAGCTCTCCCTCCTCTGTGAGGACAGATCTGCACGTCCCCCCCCCAATAGCTAGCAATCCAAAACAGTCCAGTGGAGCCTGAGCGGTGAGTGTTGCCTTCTGACACACTTCCGATGATGTCAGGGGGTGTGGCATATGCAAATGAGTTATGCTAATGAGATATGCTAATGAGCTCCTGCACCTCTTTTTCTACGAAATGACCCCTGGTTGTGATCCAAACTGGGCACGGTATACTTGGGATTGAGCAGAGTATTCCAGTCTTGTGTGAATGTTACACAGACACAGTGGGGAAACCTGGACCCAAACTCTTTACTCAGAAATGTGTGGAGAAAGGTCATTTTAAAGCAAGTGACAGAAGGCCAAACTGGATGAGACATCAGGGGAACCTCAAATGGATTTGCCTGGACATTTTTTCTTTGAAAATCCCACTGCTACTCCAAGGATCTCAGGGCAAGTTCTGCCTTTCCTCTGTATTCAGATTCTGTATCTGAAGTGTAGAACAGGAGTCTCTTTTAAATCACTGGGAGTATTCAAAACACTGAGGACACAAGCCAACCAAAGAATTTTTCAGTTCCATTTATACCAATACAAGAATTAAGCATAGTATTTAACTGCCTGCTATTCAAGTCAACAGGATTTTCAAAGTGCTAGTTCTAGTTTCAATTGGGTTACGGCTTTAGTTTACTGAATTTCTTGTGGCCCAGGAAAATGTAACTCTGAGTGGATATTATTCTCATCTATCTAAATACCAGGGGAATCGATGGTGTATGTCTAAGAAACTGCAGGATTTGCACACGCAAATTGCATTGATTTTAGTATCAAAGACCTAAATATGACTGGATCACACCCTATATTTCCACTATGGTATTGGATCCTACCACTGATTCTGACCCAAAAGGTCATGCTGAGAATCCTGGGATCTGTATGCACAAAAACATATGTGATGGGGGGCTGTGGTACAGAGTGGTGCTAGGAGAGACTGAGTGAAAAGGCTGGCGGGGTCAAACTCCTGGACTTCTATTGTGACTAATATTTCCTTTTTAATGTTATTATTTTGATTAAGTACATTCTAGAAATTCTGCTCTGTTTTTGCTGAGACTGCCCAGAGTTACCTTTGTTTCTTCTTCCTTAACAGCATGGGATGGGTATTCCCTCCATTTCCATTATGCTACATGAGCTAATCAAATTGCTACACCATGCAAAATGCCGTGATGTTACCATTATACGCATCGGTACTTCAGGGGGATTAGGTGAGCAAAGAGTTTTGCTGCTACCAGGCAGAGAGGATGCAAATGAAATGCGTCTCAGGGAAAGGTCATGCCTCTATGAGATTTCTTTCTCTCTTTTTTAAAATTTCAAGTCAACAAATATCAAACTGCTAAAAGAATATGAAAGATCACACCGAGGTGTTTTTTCTAACATTGCATCAACCTGAAAGTTTGATTTTCTTTTCAGATTAAAGTTGTTTCAGATTAAAGTTGTTTGGATTAGATCCTCCCCTCCCCACCTTTCCAAAATACCAACACATAGAAGCAACTGATACAAAGAAAGAACATGGTGCTGTAAAATTTTCAAATTCACACTCCTGGACTTGTGTCCAATGCAGTATTTCCACAGATGGAATTATTTTCACCCATGGAGTGCAACTTTCTACTTCCCCACTCCTGCTGTAGCCACAAATCCCCCCCTTGCTCCTTGATGCCCCCCCCAATTTTGGCGAGCATCTTGGGCAGCGGCAACAGGAGGGAGAAGGCCAGAAAGTCATGCCCCAAAGACAGAAATACTTCTGGCCCTCAGAAACATGGCATTAAATGGATCCAGGTCCTGATGATCTCTGATATAATATTTTCTTATGCAGCATCCACTTAGCAGCAGCCACCAAAGGGGAAAAGACAGCCAATCAACACCTAAATAAAATCCCAGTTTGGAATGATTTATTTATTTTTTTGGGTAGGGAATGCAGCTGACTGAACAGTTCATTCCAGATACATACGGATGGACAGCTCTTTCATCTCCTGAAATTTCTGCTTGACTGTGACCCCCAATTACAATTAAGAAACTGATACATCACAGTCAGTATACCATCCTAGGATGCTTTAGGATTTTATCAGTGTTCTGTCGTGCACACCAAAATGCTTAACAAAAAAAATGGACACCCTACAGATTACTATTCTTAAAAGGCACCAATCCTGAACCAGGCCCACCATAAATCTAAATCAGCTGCCTTATACTCAATCAGTCAGACAAAATATTGAAGCTGCCCTATACTATCTAGCTCAATATTCTCTATACTGGCTGGTGGCAACTCTCTGAGGTCTCAGTTCTGCCCAACACCCGCTATTTGACTTCTCTTGTCTAGAGATGCCAGGAGCTGAATCTGGGTCCTTTGGCATGTAAAACATGTTCTTGTCAGGCTTTCCCTGTGGTTACAACTTGCAGCTTCCTATTGTGTGTTGACAGCGGCAAACATGTTCTGAGCTGCTACTTTGCTTAACAGGGAACTATCAAAAAGTCCCAGAGCAAAATTTAGACAACCAATGTACTTCCCTTATGCCTCCTGGTCTCTGACATAGCTCCTCCTGGATCCTTTAGGTGAAAAACAACAGCTGGCTACTCCTAAAAAAGTAGTGTGATTCAAAATGTGACAAAACTGGTGCAAACTGCTATTAAGTGACCTGCCAAAAATGCAGTAAGACACATCAGGCACTGTTCAATCCTATACATGTCAATAAGTCTCATAAGCAAGTAACTGGAGATGAGATGGAAGCCTCAATATGCATTTTTTAAAAGCATACTTTCAATCCTAAACATACAGCCAAAACCCATCTTCACATTGCAATACTAACTTCTTTGCATATGGCTCATATGATTTAAAAAATAGATTTCAACTAGATTTAGGTCAACAGAATAGTTTATTGATACTGTATTTACAAGTATCAATCTCATGCGGACAAAAGTCCGCATGGTCAAAGCAATGGTATTCCCAGTAGTCATGTATGGCTGCGAGAGTTGGACTATAAGGAAGGCCGAGCGCCGAAGAATAGACTCTTTTGAACTATGGTGCTGGAGAAGACTCTTGAGAGTCCCTTGGACTGCAAGAAGATCAAATCAGTCAATCCTAAAAGAAATCAACCCTGACTGTTCCCTGGAAGGCCAGATAATGAAACTGAAGCTCAAATACTTTGGCCACCAAATGAGAAGGGAGCACTCACTGGAGAAGACCCTGATGGTGGGAAAGATTGAAGGTCAAAGAAAACGGGGACGGCAAAGGATGAGATAGTTAGACAGTGTCATAGATGCAACGAACATGAAGTTGAGCAAACTTCAGAGGACGGCGGAAGACCGGAAGGCCTGGCGTGATCTGGTCCATCCATGGGGTCGCGAAGAGTCGGACTCGACTGTGCAACTGAACAACAACAACAAATTTACCAGCAGTGTCTATCACTGATGATGGGAGTATATTGCAACAGTTATGGGCAGTAATTCTAAATGCTTGTGTAGCATAGGTGAGCCTTGCATCAGAATCACATTTATACACCTTCACTGGCAGTGATTAATTATTTACTGGTGTTGATGACTATTCTAAGGCAGCATTTCCATAATCAGCAAAGAGAACTTAGGACATCAGAGACAGTAATAATTCTTTGTACATGTTAAGAAAATACCATTTCACCTGTTCTTTGGCTTCATGTTCACTTCATCTGTTGTACATGCATTGCATCTCACTTATGCATGTTTATTATCATCACATAGTAATTCTGCATTACAGAAAACAATGAATGCTATCCATACATGGAGTAAAATGAGCCTGCACAACTATTTCTGATACAGTGTACCTTTTCTTCTTCAGGTACACATTTTAACAACCTAGATATGATTTGAACCCCACTGACATTTCTCCTACTGCTCCACGCACACAGCTTGAAGTTTTCTTACATTCCTCAGTTTCTGCAGCTCCTTCTGACCCTCCAGAAAGATCATTTCCAGAGTTGTGAGATCCACACAGAACCATGTAGGTTGGGTGGGGGGCTGAAGTAAAAGGAGAAGGGGATGACATTACTTCTGCTTTGTTTTCCGCAAACACACATTCCACCCCTCCTCACTCTAGTCCACCAACCCACATAGCAAATACTGACACACACACCCCATGGATCTCACAGTCCCAGGAATGATCTTTCCGGTGGACATAAGGGGCAGAAAGGACAGAGAAAAAAGCAGGAGGATTCTGTGTGCTCTCCATGAATGGATACACACTAGTCTTTGTACAGAGTGTGATCCGTGAATCTGTACTCAAGTTCTCTTGTATGGTGCAAATCTGGTTTGTGTAGAAATCGTTCCGCTTAATTGTTTCGTGAATTTTCATTCGGCTGGAGGGCCCATCCAAACAGAAACTTCCTACATTCCTTGTATGGAGCAGAAGTTTACAACAACAGAAAACTTGCCAGGTTATGGCAGATGTATTTTCTCATTGCTGCTTCTTGCACTGAGTGTAGGGAGTTAGCCAGGGAAATGAACTAGCCCATGCTTAACCAAAACAATACAAATTCCTGTCAACTATGTGAACCAAGAAGAAGAAGAAAAGAGATTGGATTTATACCCCACCCTTCACTACCCAAAGGTGTCTCAGAGTGGCTTACGAACTACTTTTCCTTACCCTCCCCACAACAGACACCCTGTGAGCAATGTTCCCTCTAAACTGTGGAGTCTTGTGAGCAAAAATCCTAATTTGTGAGCTGCCAGCATTAAAGTTGTGAGCGAGCGATTTGGCCACTGCATCAATTAGTTTGCTCTGGAGCCGTCCTTCCTGAGCGAAGACAAAAATTGGTGAGCCGGAGGCTTAAAAGCTGTGAGCTAGCTCACACTAACTCAGCTTCGAGGGAACACTGCCTGTGAGGTAGGTGGGGCTGAGAGAGCTCTTGTCAGAAACTGCTCTTTTTTCAAAACAGCTCTTATCAGAACTATGGCTTGCCCAAGGTCATCCAGGCAGGTGCAAGTGGAGGAGTAGGGAATCAAACCCGGTTCTCCCAGATTAGAGTCCGCGCACTTAACCACTACACCAAACTGGCTCTCCAAAAGGCACCAAAAGGCACCAGAAACCAAACTGAACAATTCTGTGTGAAGACACTATAATCTGTGGTCCCCACAATAAGGTATGCCTGAACAAGTCTTTAGCTGCATCTACTTGGTTCTTATGTTTTAAGGTACTCATAATTAGTTCACAGGTAGTACAGGCAAATAAGTTACCGTGTGATGGTCTGTAGGAAGAGTCTTGTGTTTGAGCACCCTTCTGACACCATATATATAGCCTGTAATGAGAAACAAGGCCTACATGTTTGTGTGCTTTTTATGACACAATGAGGAAGCCGTAGTTCTCATTATACAGTGGTGGGAAAGGGTACAAGAGCATATGGTTTAATCCCCATCACAACACAAGGATACGTTACGTGTCCAAGCCTCCTGAGACCCATATCTCAAGATATCTGTGTGTGTGTGTGTGTATCCATCAGAATTTACCCCAAGCCTCAATGACTATAACTGATTGTCCAAAAATCAATTGTTAAAGAATACAACATTCAGACCAAGAATTGTTCTGGTCAATAGTGGATGTATTTGTGTTCTTGGAATACTTAACAACATCTTCTTTCGTTTTGTGTTTTCAGGGATCGAACCCGGGTCAGTTGTGATAACAGACACAGCAGTGGATTCGTTTTTCAAGCCTCAGTTTGAGCAGGTGATTCTGGACCGTGTGGTAGTACGAAGCACTGAACTTGATAAAGACCTGGCTGAGGAACTACTGGAATGTAGCAAAGAGATTAAGGATTTCCCAACACTTATTGGTCATACGATGTGCACCTATGATTTTTATGAGGGTGAGTGAGAATGGCTGATAACGCATAATACAGTTTTTGTTCCTGACTACCAGGATGAGTTATGAAACATGACAGTATTCATGGTATGACCTGTCTGGTGCTACTCCAGATGTGTGGTCACTTCTAGCCTTGTTTCTTTGAGATAAATGTTAAGGCCTTGGCACACAAGACTATTCATCACAAGGATAGCCAACAACAAACAAACATAATGTTTATTCAAGAAAGAAAAGGATGGTACTTTCCTTACCCACATCCCTTTATAGCCTTACCTGCAATTATCTGTCCTCTGTTTTTAGCTATTGAGGAAACTTTCTTTGATAAATTTTGAGAACACTTGAGGCCCAGGCTTCTGTCTCAGAGGATGTTTACAAAGGCAAATTTTATAGAGGGAAACGTTACTATTAAGTAACATCCCTCTTTCATTTTCCTGCAATTTCTCATTCTTTCTAAATGTGCCCCAAAGTGTGGGAAATCTAATACAAGCAAGAGACATTCATCTCCCAAAAGTTGTATAAGCCAAGTCTGGATCTCAATTTCACCCAATGGAAGCACATTTATAAGAACACTTGAATACTGTACATTTCTTTAAAAAATATGAAAACTCCTGTCATTTATTTTATTCTCGTAGGGAATGGCAATGAAGAGGGAAAGCAATGAAAGGACAAATGCTATTTGTTGTACTGGTCTGGAGGCTGCCTCCTCCTCTTGTTATCCTGGTCCCTCTTCACTTATTCACATGGCCACCAAGAACCACAATGGCTCCCCAGACAAAGGTTCCCACTGGAGCCTCCTGACCCCATCCAAGCACCATATGATATCACATGACTAAACTTTCCCAGTCCTATGGGCTCCCTGGAATTTTGTCTGCCTGGTCCCTCCTTTTTTGCAGCTTGGCCTACTCACCTTCCCACACTTACTGAGCTGCAGGCAGGCAAGGGAGAGCACAGGACGGGGAAACCTACTCCTCCTAAGAGCAATGAAAATCAACAGCACAATAAATGATCCAAAAAACAAATGTAGTTTTTTTAAAAAAACTTAAAAGCTAGATGAATATAAAAGACAAAAAACCTCACATCTATCTATTTTTATTTAATTCATTTATACCCCACCTTTCTGCCCAATGGGGACCAAAAGCAGCTTACATCATTCTCCTCTCCTCCATTTTATCCTCACAACCACCCTGTGAGGTAAGTTAGGCTGAAAGTGTATGACTGGCCCAAGCGTACTCAGTGAGCTTCCATGTAAGGATGTCAGCGTCCAGGTGGAAGTTGGAGATCGCCAGGAATTACAGCTCATCTACAGACTACAGATACTTGTTCCCCTGGAGAAAATGGATGCTTTGGAGGATGGACTCTATGGCATTGTACCCCTCTGAGGTCCCTGTCCTCCCCAGGCTCCATCTCCAAATCTCCAGGAGTTTCCCAACCTGAATCTGGCAACCATGTCTTCCCATACCCCATCAGTGGCCAGGGGGAACCTGGCAACCCTACTTCCATGGCATGAGTGAAGATTCAAACCCAGGTCTTCCAGGTACTAGCCCGACACCCTTAACTGCAACACTGCACTGACTCTAATGAGCATGGACAAACAAAAGAGAATGCTATGACACTAGGGTTCTCAGTTCCCGGTAGGGGCAGGGGAACCCCCACATTCACAGGCTCTTGCCTACCAGCAGCCAGTTGGCTGGTGGGGGAAAATCCCACCCCTAACTGACCTTCCCGGGAGATTTCTGGTAAAACCAGAAGTGCAGGCCCCAACGGGATGACATCAGTTCTGGGTGACATCATTGTGTCGGGACCTGCACTTCTGCTTTTACCGGAAGTCATTCGACACAACTTCCAGTCTTCTGAAAGGATGTTGGGAGCCCCTCACCATCCAAGTAAGTGGACCTGGCAATGGCACAATAGGCTTCTCACTAGGGTATAACAGCCCAATACAGGCTACAGCCCTATACGTTTGCTGAATGTGTGGGGAAGGAGAGTGGGCGCACACAACTGCCTAGTCATCCACAGAGTGTGACCACATAGAGGAAGTGGCCACACATACATCCCCTCCCTGTGATCAGCAACACTACCTTCTGAACGTCACTGATCGTGGGGATGGGGAGTTCGTGGGGTCACTTACTCTGTGTGGTCACCCCTGGAGACATCCAGGTGATCATGTGGAGGGGGAGACAGGGCCCAATCACTCTTACCTGCTTCCCTCCCCACCTGTGAGACTGTGTCTGTACCAGACTAATAACTAAAGTGGGGCTGTATCCACACATTACTAGATATTGCTCCGTAGTATTCAATCCAAATTGGATTTTCCAGACAATCCAGTTGCAACTGAATGATATCCACCATTGTACGGATGAAGCTTAGGTGTTTTTCCTGAATAATAAACAAAAATTGATCTGAAGTGGCATATATTTATAGGGAAATGTGCAGGTATGGATGAAAACCTATTTTCCAAACAGTTGAACAGAGCTATAATTTATACCCCAGATACCTGTCACATTCACCCAGTTCTACAGCACCCTGTATGCAAAGAAAGCCATGTTATAGCAGCTTCCTGTTTCCTTTTATGTGACACTCAGGAAAATCTAGGAGCCCCTCAGTAGTGGTGCCTTATGTCCCTCATCCTCAAAAACATTTATTGATACTCTGCGGCAGGGCTCTAGTCGGGGGGGAGCTCTCAGGTATGGAGCTCCGGAAGAGAACCTCTAGGGGGCGGGGCGGTCACGTGGTGAAGCCCCGCCCCCTTCTTCACCCCGCCCTCTGCTTCGATCCTCATTCCGTTCGGGAATGAGGACGAAGCAGGAGGGTAAGTAGCCGGGCCTTCTGACACACTTCCGGTGATGTCAGGGGGTGTGGCCTTCTGTCACTTCCGGTGATGTCAGGGGGCATGGCATATGCAAATAAGTTATGCTAATGAGTTATGCTAATGAGCTCCGGCAGCTCTTTTTCTACAACAAGACCCCTGCTCTGCGGAAAAACAAGCATATCCTATTAAATAGTTAAAGCAAATAGTCCCTTGTCAATAATCATAACACAATGTTAACAGCTGGCTTACACTCCAGTTACTTCCTGTGACAGGATTATAGCTTCCAAATTACCTTTGCTGAAGAAAAATGTCAAGAAGTGCGACATTTATGTAAATAACCATTAGCTCCTCTGTACTACCCTAGAACCTTTTCTTTGGAAGCAATTAAATGCCGTTTGCCAAGTGAGTGAAACAGAATAAATGGAGAATTAATAATCTGTGGCCTATTTATAAACCTTTGGATCTGTTTGCAAAGCATGACCATCTGTGTTTTTGCTCGAGGCCACATTTCCTCAAAGCCATTGCAGAGGATTAAGATGCAGGAATGGAAAGACAATGAAAGGGGGTGGCCCAGGTTACCACGATTGCAGGTGCACATTTGCCATCTCAGAAAACATGTGTTGTGAAGCAGACAAGCATGACTCAGGTTCCACCATTAGACTTGCTAAAAACCCATCCTGGACAGCAGTGAAAGAGATTATGCACTTTAGTTCATGTTATATAGTCAAATGAACATATGTAGCTGCCTTATATGACATCAGACCATTTGTATACGTAGCTCTGTATTCACTGTAGTGACCAGCAGTGGATCTCCAAGATTTCAGCCAGAGAAAGATCTTTCCCAATTCCTGCTACTTGACGCTCAGTGTACACATTATAGAGCAGTGGTTCCCAATCTTTTTGGTATAGTGACCCACAAATCCAAATTTACTTGGTATGGAGACTCATCCAAGGCTGACCCAAGGTTTTTTGGTGCCCTAAGCAAACTATGGCCTTGGGACCCATCTAGGCCAGCATTCTGTTTTCTACGGTGGTTAACCAGATGTTTTTGAGAAACCAACAAAGGGCACACAAAGGGCATGGCTGCCCCCACTATGAACCCCAAGCAAGAGGCATTCTGACATGTGCAGCCTTTGCGTATGTGCGTTACATTCCAGCCTTTGACTATTCTCTCCTTCAGTATTCCCTCTAATCACCCCTAAGATTCAAAGAAACTCACTCTAGTAACCATCAGGATCCATTTTACTTGATCAACAGTAGTGTGGGAAAATACCAACTAATGTATGACATGGAAGATACTGTTTCCAGGGTCAGATATTGGTTTCCAAAATACAAAAGGGAACAGTGGAAAGGGCAGAGGCAGACATTAGGGAGGGTTGGCTTGTGACCCACCTTTGGGTCCTGACCCACAGATTAGGAAACATTGTTGCAGAACAAACAGATTGTGTCCCGAGTCCCTACCGGATTAGATATGAGTTGCAGGTTCTCCTCTGTTTCTGTGTGTATAGAGCCTGATTCCATTTGTGACTGTGTCATGCACGGAGAAGGCTTCAGTCTTCCCCCTGCACCATTTTCTTGACCTCAGACTGGCTTAGGGGGCATTATGTGACTTGTTGGGGAAATGCAATAGTATACATGTTGCAAGGCTGGCCACATGTGGGTTTCCTCAAAAGGCCAAATAGTGCCCCCTTATTTATTTGTTTGTTTGTTTAAAGGATTTGTTGGCCACCTTTCCCCCTTACAAAACTCAAGGTGGCTATAAAAACAACAATGATAAAACCCATAACAGTCATAGTTCAAAAACTCCAGTTAGGACTGCCCATAATAAAAGCTAAATCAATCAAAATGCAGTCCTAAATCAAACTGCCATCTTTAACTGCCTCCTAAGGTATTGTGTAGTGGGTTAACCACATGGCAAGGCCGCTGCGGTTCACGTATCATCCTGCACGCTTACTGCTACACAACAAAGACAAAGGGAAAACAGCCCGTGGGCCAACTATATACACATATGGGGACACCCCCTAAGTCCCGTTGGTGGGTTTGAATCTCCCGCCAACATCCCATTGGTCCCTCGGTGGAGAGACCAGGAGCCTTGTCCCATTGTTCCTCAGCTTGGCTCTGGGGTATTCGCTGACCTCTGGTGGCGGTCATCGGACACAACATAAGGATTGGCAATGAAGGGGCCAGGCACACCTCCTTAAGGAGGCCGTTCCATGAGAGTGAGGCTGCCACCAGAAAGGCCCTCTCTCATGTATCTACCAAACAAGCATCTTTAATTGGTGGGACCATTTCAGGTTAGGAAAAAGAAATAGCTATTTGTTGTTTTTATTGTTTGTTGGTTTTATGTTGTGATCTGTCCTGAGCCCATTTCTTGGGGTAGGGTGGAATATAAATTAAATTAAATCAATAAATAAAGTGATGGGGGGAGGCTGAAGCCTCTTCTTCACGTGCTTCGCAGTCATGATCTGAGTTAGGCCCCACATGCATGGGAACTGAGGAGAATCCACAGCTCACAACTTCATAATGTGTAAATCAGCATCACTGAGATCCTTCCACTGGAGATGCCAGGAATCAAGTTGAGGACCTTCTCCATGTATTTTGCCGTTGAGCCCAGTTGAAGTAGTATTGCTACCTATATAAACATTTTACACCTTCTGAGCCTTGAATTTAAACTTTGTACTTTTATACATACAAATCACACCCTTCTCCACCCCTACCACTGGTGACAAATTTCCCTCACTTGCAGGAGTGATGTCAAGGCAGATGGCATTGTCAAATACATTAATGCAAGATCCCCGAGCACCTCCTGGCACTCTGAATTTGAACATATGTGCAACTTCATCAAGGAAAACAGTAAAGCCGCAATGACAAATATATCCAATTTAAACCACCTGCTAGCCTGTATACATACCAAGGGGCAATCAGTACAAGAACTAGCCCTGATATTGTAATGCCTGTTTACTGCTCTCAGTCTGGACGGTGTTAATTGCATCCTTTTGCTTTCCCCATGGACTTCATTTGTCATGATTTATTTAGCATCAAGCCCAGTAGCAGCACAGTTTAGCTGTGGAGCACTGCTGTGCCTCTTCTCCCTCATTCAGCGGGGGAGGAACTTGTTGAGGTCACTGAGAACCTCAGCCAACCACTTCCTCCCTGCCTTTCTATTCCTTCTGTCCAAGCTTCCGGTAACGTTCCATCATTCAAAAAGTAGACAGTCTTCTTTCTTCCTTTTTTTAAACATTGTTTTGTTGGCTTAGCAATTGGATGCCCTTGACTGAGAGCCGACTATGTGTTACATTTTTCACTGGTTTATACATGTTTTCACATGTTCCCTATAGCCACACAGCAGCTGCGGGGAACTGCTTCTAAAAAGAAAAGGAGAGCCCAAACAAGCTCGGAACGGTGCCACGCGTGGTGGAAGGGCTCCTACCCCCAGCAGTTTCCTCACATGAAAACCATGCTGGGGTGGGGAGTTATTTCCCCAGTTTTTCTGCTCTACATGCACATATATTCAGGGAAATAACCCCCCCCCCCCCAATACTGGCTTAACTGACTGTATACTCTAGGGTTTCCCTCTTGTCTTTTCATTGGAGCCAGGCCTGCCTAAAGCTTGGTTTTTTTAACAAAGTAGTGTGCTATGCTCTGTAGCAAGAGCTTCTGCACTTCTGCAGACATGCCCATGCTCTTTGTGTAGCCAGGAGGAGATACTGACTTCCAGTTGGGGCCTCTTCTAACCCAATGGGGAGGGCCCTTCCCCCTATTTCTCTAAACCTTATTAATTGCTCCTTTTCTGCAAGGAGCAGAGCTTGCAATCCTAATTCTCTTCATCCTGGCTGCTATTGATGAAAATGAAAGAAACAGGATTGCTGCTGAGAGATCCACCTCCTCTAGGGTCCAAACTACATGTTATGATTTTCGGTACATTGGGTTTGGGTTCCCTGGCCTGACTTCAAATCTGTCACACATAACCTGTGAGTTTCCAGCTGGAAATTCATTTCCCAAGCATGTGGGGGGCCCATTTGGATCAGGACCATAGTATTCAGTGAGAAGGGGCTTCAGCCGTCCTCCCAGTTTTCCCAACCCAAAATAGCCCCAGAGCCAGTTTGGTATAGTGGTTAAGTGCGCGGACTCTAATCTGGAAGAACTGGGCTTGACTCGCCACTCCCCCACTTGCAGCGGCTGGATGACGTTGGGCAAGCCATAGTTCTGACAGAGCTGTTCTTGAAAGAACAGTCCTCGGGAGAGCTCCCTCAGCCCCACCTACCACAGGGTGTCTGTTATGGGGAGGGGAATGGAAAGGAGTTTGTAAGCTGCTCTGAGTCTCCGAGTGAAGGGCGGGGTATAAATCCAATCTCCTCCTCCTCCTCTTGTTCTTCTTCTTCTTCCCCCACTGGGTGCAGGGCATGTATCTATCTATTTATTTACTGTATTTATTGTCCGCCTTTCTCACTGAGACTCAAAGTGGATTACGAAATTAGAATGAACAACTGAATAAATGAAACAGCATAAGATATAGTATAATTAATGCAGCAACTGGATTACCAAAATTCTAAGTTCATGCAGTACAAACAAGATAATACTAGTGGACTGGTAACTACAGGAGAAGCCGACTTGAAACCGACCTAGTTTGGTCCCGTGTCCACTTCTCCTGCTTCCTTCCATCCCATAGACTTCTGTCATATCCTCAGTATACGTGAAGGGGAGACGTAGGAAGTGGAGGGAGAACTGTGAGCATTTGGGGGATGAAAAAGAGTATGTTTGTGACTCCAAGAATCATGGAAACAAGTGGAGACCCGCAAGAAACTTGCGGAATGGAGCAGCACGTGCGCTCTCGTTTTCCTCTCTGCACATGATGGAGAGTGGCACCAGTAGGGAGACTTTCTAAATGGAACTAGTGCCCAGCTGAAGAAAGCATGCATGTTCACTGTCCACACATCCCAAAAAGGTGGAAGGGAGAAGGGGGGAAGAAGAACCACCAGTAAAAGGAAATGATTGGGCTCTTGTAGGGGTTGGGGGAGGTGTCATATTCATTTACCAGCTCAAAAATATTAAAGGGGCAGCAGTGGTTCTGCCCGCATCAGGACCCACCCCTCCAAAATGCACTACTACAGGAATTTCTGGATATCATCGGGAGATATGAAGGGCTGGGTTCTGGGATCCATCATAGGAAGGGAAACATGGGACACAAATGTTTTGAATGCCCGACAAAGTCAATGGGAGATATCTGTGCTTTCCATTTCCATAGGATTCCTCTTCTCGTCTGACTTACTTGCAGCATGGAGTTTAAATAGACTTCTCTGCATCTCTACCCTATCATTGCTCCTTTTCCCCTTTTTTTTGGTTTGGTGCTTCTTTCTTCTCCACACGGTAATAAAGCACATGAGCCTTAATTTATTGACTTATCTTCCAAAGTGATAAAAAAAAAATTTTTAAGACTCCAATTTTTTATGTCCCTCTTTGTAGTTCGTTCGGCAGTCTTTTGCGGTAATGTTCTGCATCTAAAAACTGCACGGCAAACAAGATATTAATATTTGAAGAAGCGTGCTAATAAAACTTACAGCATTGTGAGGTTTTAAATTTTAGCAGAATATTGGCAACTTAAGCTTGGGCTTCCTAGAAAGAAAGGCTGCTCTGCCGCCGCCGCCACTCCTTTAAACGAAGTGGGGAGGAAGGGGTGGGGTTTGGCCGCTGGCTGGCAGTAAGGGAGAGCCAGCAAAAACAGATGCTGTGGGCCCGATGCAGGATGTTGGGGCGGTCCAAGTAAAGGACATAGACAGGCCAGCATCAGACTGGCCCGTCTTCCTTGGCCACGGATAGTGGCGGAGCCAGCGGAAGCACTCATCCTGGCAGAAAAGATCGACAACAGGGTGTTCCCTCTAAGCTGAGTTAGTGTGAGCTAGCTCATAGTTTTTTAGCCTCCAGCTCACACATTTTTGTCTTCGTTCAGGAAGGGTGGCTCCAGAGCAAACTGATTTATGGAGTAGCCAGATTGCTCACTCACAACTTTAATGCCAGTAGCTCACAAAGTTGAATTTTTGCTCACAAGACTCCACAGCTTAGAGAGAGCATTGATGGGCCACGTGGAATAAGTACCGGTTACCAGTTGGGGTGGTGGTAAGGGGTAGTGTTTAACTCACTGGGCTCCCCTTGAACCAAAGCAGCTTCCTGATCGGCTGAGTGCTGGATCAGTGACTTAAGTTTGGGCTTCCTGGTCAGGAAAATCTCTAATGACACCTTCAAGCTTGCTGCCTGTGGAAGTACAAAATAAGTTATGTTTTTCTTTCCCTTCTTTCTAAGGTCAGGGACGATTAGATGGGGCGTTGTGTTCCTTCTCCAATGAAAGAAAGCTAGAGTACCTCAAAAGAGCTTACAACGCTGGTATTAGAAATATAGAAATGGAGTCTACTGTATTTGCTGCTATGTGCAGGCTTTGTGGTCTTAAAGGTAAGTCCAAAAATGACACACTTGCTCTCACGGTTGCCCTGAATCCCTTGCTCCTTTGCTCCTTTGGGCAAAACCTTTGCTTGCGCTGTAGCTCTTAAGGAAGTGGAACCTCAAGCTTTAAGAACTTGCTTGCGCAGAATTGTGCTAAATTTATGTTCCTCCTTGATCGTTGCTGGATCCAAGCTACTGTCTAGTCCAGGGGTGGCCAAACGTGCTTAACGTAAGAGCCACACAGAAGAAACATCAGATGTCTGAGAGCCACAAGACATGAACAAATATTACACACACATTTTAATTGGAAAATATGCAAATTTGCTTTTATTAACATTAACATAGCCTGCCAAAAATAAAATCAAAAGGGATATAAAAAGGGACTGATATTTATTTGTCCAATTATATTTGTAGGCTTGATGCGGGGTGCTTTGAGAATGCATTTAAAGGATTTCCCATATCCTAGTCCAACACTCTCACAACAACCCTGTGTAGGGCTGCCAAGTGGGGGCAGGGGTGGAGAAACCTCCACTTTGAAGGTCCAATTTCCGCCGCCGCAGAATTGGGCCCCGGGCGGAACTCCGCCCCCACGTCGCTCACGTTGGGGGCGTGGTCCAGATCATCAGAGGGAAAACTCTATGGTTTTCCCTCCGACAAGCTGGCCACGCCCTCAACGTGAGCGACGTAGCACGTCACTTCCTGTGATGTGTTGGCGGCGCGCGCACGCGCATCCCACAAGAGCTCCCGGAGCCCGGCGAGGCTCCCCCGCTGCCAAGGGTAAGTACACATGGCAACCCTATCCCCTTCACTTCCCCAGCCACCCTGCCGGGAGCCACACGATATGTGTGAAAGAGCAACATGTGGCTCCTGAGCCACAGTTTGGCCACCCCTGGTGTAGACTCTCAAAAGCACTTCATTGCAACATGACCATGCACCCCCTTAACATGTAGCTAGGCTTAAAGCATTTTAACTGTTATTCACTAAGAAGGTAAATTTGTGTGTACCGCTTCCTGATTAAAATGAGGGCTGTACGATTGAATATTCCTCTGCTTACTGAAAGTGAGGGGTCAGATAGGGTTGCTAGCTCTGGGTTGGAAAATACCTGGAGACTTTGGGGGGTGGATCCAAGATAGGGTGGGGTTTGGCGAGGGGATGGACTTCAGCATGGTACAGTGCCATGGAGCCCACCCTTCAAAGCAGCCATTTTCTCCAGGGAAACTGATCTCCGTCAGCTGGAGATCAGTTGTAAAAGCAGAAGGTTTCCAGGCCTCACCCATGTAAGTGGAGGAGACGCATATGGCCGTGTGCACTCCCACCTGCAGTATGAAGTGATATAGTCCAGAAGCAGGTTTTACTGCCTTAGTGTGGAAATAATTAGATGTCCACTTAAAAAATGTTAAAAGCAGTGTGTGTGTATGGGGGGGGGGTGTGTGATCAAGACCAAGAGTGCAGCTTACAGGGGATTTAACCTCCCCCCCCCATACCATTTTACCAATACAAATCACTCTGTACGTAGTTTTTTTAAAAATCCAGGGGGAAGGAGGGTTGAAATAGATACAGATTCATGCCCATTTCCATCTATGGGGCAAACAGCAGCTGCATGGGGCAACAATAATTGGGGAAATGGTATGGGGCATTCTCCCTGTACTATGACCTTTATCCAGACTGGAGCCAACGGCTGGTGCTATTACTGGTTTTTTTAAAACCAACAACAACCCTGATCATGGATCTCCAGCATCACACATATTTTGGGCTGGAGGGCAGAGTGTTGTTTTTGTCGCAGAGAGGGGTCTCAAATAATGAACAGTTGCAGCACAAAAACAGAGTAGCTCCCAAATCCTGTTCCCTTCCTAGAATTAGATTCCCTGGGATTGCTACAACACAAAGGCCGAAAATGAATTTGAAGCAACTCTTATCCGCGAACAGACTTTCTCTCTGGAAATTAAGTGGTTTTGTAAATTGGTTATCTGAGATTGATCAGTATGTTCAACAGATTGAAAAGGTTAATGGTGTTGGCAAAACCAAAGCCTTTGAAGCCACCTTGTAAAAAGTTTTTAGAAAGTTATGCCAATGTTTTCCAGCTTAGGGTTGTGTGTGTGTGTGTGTATGTGTGTGTTTTGCTTCATTTTTTCACTGGCTGCAAAGGTCACTGGGCTCCTGCTGACATTCTTGAAAATGCATTAACTGTTCTAATCTGGGCTATTTTTAAAGTGAAGTAAAGGCACATATAGCTTAAATTCAGCCCTCTCATAATAGAATTCCAAGAATAACATAAGAACATAAGAGAAGCCAATGTTGGATCAGGCCAATGGCCCATCTAGTCCAACACTCTGTCACACAGTGGCCAAAAATATCAGGTGCCATCAGGAGGTCCAGCAGTGGTGGGGGGACCCCCTGCCCTCCCACTGTTGCCCCCCCCCAAGCACCAAGAATACAGTGCATCACTTGCCCCATCCTGAGAGTTCCTATCTATACCTTGTGGCTAATAGCCACTGATGGACTTCTGCTCCATATGCTTATCTAGTTCCCTCTTGAATATTTCATTGAGTCTCAAGCATGGATGTGCCCCTATCCCATAACTCCTTGAAGAAACCTACATCCTGTTGGGATGCTTTACCACAGAATTTTTCTAAGTGGTCCTACTGGGGCAACCTAGAGAAAGGTATTTAGAGTTGCCAAGTTAAGTTGTGTCTGGGCTGCACCTCTTCAGGCTTCAGAGGGGGCTTGTAGAGTTGCCTAGAGGTGGGGCTGGGAGATCTTCCGGAACCAATCTCCAGATTACAGAAATCAGTTCCCCTACTCTAGGTAGCCCACGTTTAGCTAGAGGATCTACAAGCTGTTGTAGGCCTAAGAGAGGTATATACAGAAATGAAAAAGCTGATGCCCCAAAAGTAATATAAATTGCCACATAAATTATCAGTAGAATTAAAAAAAAATGCAGCATTGTGCCTACCATTCTCCATTGCAACAATTCTCATTGCCTTCCAAAATAAAGATGCATCAAACCTACTCATGACATTGACTAAGATTTCAGATCTCAGAACTGATGTGGGGACAGTATTCCCCTGTCCTAAAACTAGACCATGACGAAGTAGCCTGGAATAAGGTTGTGAGGACCAGGTGACCTCATTAAGTCTTTATTGGTGAGAATAATATTTGTTAGCCAACTGATTTCAAAGCTACCACACCTTAAATGCTTCAAGCACTTGACAGTTATCTAGCAAATAAACAGAAAGCTCTTAAGATCTACTGTTCTGTTCACCAACTTGTGTAGTTTGTATATTATATAAAAACAAGCCTGACTCTTTTTTAAAAAAAACAAACCTGATTCTTTGCTTTCTAGCTGCAGTTGTCTGTGTGACTCTCCTTAACCGACTTCATGGTGACCAGATCCAAGCATCCCATGAAGTTCTACTTGAATATCAACAACAACCTCAAAAGCTGATTTCACTGTTTATTAAAAAGCGCCTTGGGCTTTGGAATCCAGAAGGTTCAGTCTAAAGGACTGTGAGAATTGTCATTGTTGTAGCAATTCTCTGCAGTATATGTGCCTGTCTGTAGATATACATGTATAGACATTAATATGATTACATGTTTTAGTGACTTGATCACACATATTTAAATGTGGAGGAGGGTGTCTGAGATAGTAGCACAAGAAAATTAAATTTACAATTCAACAGTAGTCATAACTCAGCTGTAATGTATCTGACAATGGATGTTCCCATTTGCAATAAGAATTTCTTTTTAATGTGGTCTTAGCCACATAAAATTAATGCCTAATTGTCCCACATTATACTTTTCAAGGGTCTCCTAAAATTTATTTTGGGTTCAAATACGTGGCTGACTTCAGTTAGCACACGATTTCATGCATATAACTGATGTAAAACTAATGCCTGTATGAGCATCTGCTGTGCCATCAGGAATATACCCTCCAGAGCATTTGTGGGGGGGGGCACTTAGTCCTCAGACTAGAGAAGGCAAGGAATTAACAGCACCCCGGATCTTCCAAGACTTTGTCCTGATTTGGAGTATCTGTGACTAAATAGTAGGGATGGGCACAAACCAGGAAAATGTGGTTTGGTTTGTGATTCGTGGCATGCCTGGTTTGCGAATCATGAATCATCATGAATATTTAGCCGCCAAATGAACAGGTTCAGTTCATGAGGTTCATCATGCAGTAGAACAGCCCCCTGGAATTCTGGTGACACCAATCTCACTGAGGATCTCTGGCTGACTCTCCTCTACTTGCCCTCCAAGTCTGATGAAGATTGGATTTATGGGGTCCACGTTATAGCCCCCCAAAGAAGGTGCCCCCAGGAAAGTGCTTTCTGGGGAAATGATAGGCGGAGGCTCAGGAGTGTATAGAATGGATCCTGTGCAAGCTAGAGACATCAAAGTCGCAGGGGAGGAGACCTCCCCCAGATGCTTCTTTATGTGCCCTCCAAGTCCCCCCCTGTTTCTTTGAAGTTTGGTACACATTTAGATTGAGTAGAGAAAACCCCCCTGTTGCTTTGAAGTTTTGTAAACATTTAGATGGAATGGAGACAGTCTATCTGGAAATGTATCCATTCATGAACTACCATGAACCAATTGAAAGTTTGTGCCGGCTGATCTATCATGAACTTCAGTCCGCAAACCACAAACCGGCCACAATTAATCACAAACTTTAGTTTGTGAGCCAGTTTCTGCCCATCCCCACTAAACAGTGCCCCATCCAGAGGAAACTACAAGCATACAGTTAAAGAGAATACATAGAGCGGTGCAACAGTCAGGGCTATTTTGGGGCAGGAACACACAGTAACGGAGTTCCGGGTGGCTTCAGAGTTGGCACGCCCACTACAGCCACAACCTCGCAGGGTGTGG